TGGGAGGGAATGGGATGTGACAGAGGATGGGATGGCGGGCTGCATGGGCCTGCCCAGTCCTGTCCACTCCTTAACGCACTGCCCAGCCACAACCTGGAGATGAAGCATCTGCCCGGTGCTGACCCTGAACTTGTGCTCCTCAGCCACCGATACGAGGAGCTGGAAGTGAGTGGGCAGCGTGGCACCTGCTGCCGCAGCAAGGTCTGGGGTGGTCGGTGCCCCACAGGTGCCAGGCTTCAATCCCTGTCTGCGTGCAGAGAATCCCCCTGAGTGACATGACCCAGGAGGAGATCAACCAGCTGCTGCAGGAGCTGGGCTTCTACCGCAAGGAGACGCCTGACGCCCCCGTGCCTGAGGAGTTCCAGTTTGCCCCTGCCAGGCCTCTGTCCACCCTGCCACCCCTGCGAGTTCCTGCTGCCAATGGCAAGACCCCACGCGAACGTGATGAGGGAGAACACCCAGACCTCTAGCGAGGGGTGCCGTGCTTGGGAGAGGGTCCTGCGGCCAGTCCCCAGCACATGGGAACACGAGTGTCACAGCAGCTGGGGATGCTGCCGCAGGGTGGTGAAGGTGCCCGTGCTGTTGCTTGGTGCTGTGCAGCCTCTGCCCCGAGAATGCCCTGAGCAGCTCCAGCCTTGAGCAGGGGCTTCCTGGGCACTGCGGGCATCCTGGATGTCCACATGCCTGTCATTGCCCTCGCTACCCTGCAGCCTGGCATCGCTAACTGGTTGGGAGGAGCAGTGTTCTTTGCGCTCCCTTGCTGTGCCCCAGGGTTTAGCTGACTCCCGGCACTGGGCAGCAGTATCCTACCTGAGTGGGACAGGATGAAACCCTCAGCAGAAAGCCCCAGGTGCTGAGGGTAGATGTGCTGAGTCCCGGAGGTAGGAGAGCTGCCCCCGGGGGGTATGGCTTTACACCCCACCAGGGTTGTCTCGTATCGAGCCCCCAGTAAAGCCCATGCGTACAATTGGCTGCACCGTGTCATCTTTCCAGGGAAGGCTCAGTGGGGTGCATCCCACCCTGTTCCGTACTGGGTGCTGGGAATAGCTGGGTGCCCCATAACGCTCACAGAGGTGGGAGGGCACAGCAGGGTCACAGCCACTGCTGATGAGCTGACAAACCATTCCACAGACCAACCGTGCTGTTCCTGTGCCACCCCCTCCCTGGCGTGTTGGATCCATGGATGGATGGGGCACCATGGCTTGGGATGAGCTGCTCTTGCAGGGTGCAGGGGGACGGGTGCAAGCCCACGAGTGGGTCCTGCAGCGCTGAGCCAAAGCCCAATGACTGTGCTGGCCTGGCGGGCACATCTGTCCCTTGGCCGGGTAAGGGAGCAGGGCGCTGCTGCGCTGTCTGCAGACCTGGCTTGATGCAGCCTCTGTAGCAGCATGGGGTCTTCTCACTGTGCCAGGCCTGGGGGCGGCAGGGGGCAGTGAACCAACAGCCCTTGGTCAGGGTGGGATGCTGATGGTGCTCCTCAGCTCTGGGCATTGTCCCTGAGCAGGAGGAGCAGCACATGCCCTGCATCTCCCCCTGAGCTGGGTGAGCAGTGGGCCTGCAGGCAGAGGGGTCGAGGAGCAGGCAGGGCTGCCAGCACCCTCCTGGGCGCTGTGACATGCGCTGCGCTGGTGGCGTGAAGCAGCAGTGCAGCTGGCAAAAAAGACCTGAGGCAGAGGCGTCACCCTATAGAATAAACCTTTATTGTCTGGCTGCTGTGTTGGTACACGTGTCAACGCGGGTATAGAGATGGTGATGGAGGGGCGAGCGGTGCTGAGCACGTGGTGCCCTGAGCTGGGGAGGAGAGCAGGGGCTGCTGTCCCAGCTCACTCCTCGGGCCCCTCACTCCTCCGGGACCCCTCACCTTCCCGCCCACTCCCCAGCACATGGGTGCTGCAGCCCCCCAGTGTGGAAGCGCCCCAGGGTGCATGTGCGCAGTGGGAAGCAGGGTGTCAGCACGGGGCTGTGGAGCCATCCCCAGGGAGGTGGCACCAAGCAGGGCCTGTGGTGGGCAGAGGGGCTTCCTCACAGGGGGCCAAGGAGAACCGCTTGTGGGCACGCTGCCTGTGGGATGCCCCGCGACCCAGGCTGAGCTGCACGACCCATGCCAGCCCCGGGCTCGAGGGCGCAGCCATGCCCGGGCCTCCCTAGGGATGCAGGGACGCTGCCCGTGGAACAAACAACTCCCAGAGAACAAATAACTTAACACGCTGGAGCACAGGAGGCAAGCCAAGCCGCGGAGCATCCCTGGCAGCGCCTGCCTGGCCCTGCCTTGCCCTGCCCACAGGGTCAGCCCGCAGCCAGCTGGGGCAGAGGGAGCTCCAGCGAGGCAGAGGTGTGGGGCTGCCCTGGTGGCAGAGCCCCCTCATCCCCAGTGCCGGTCCTGTGGCCCCCCTGGACGCTCCAGGGGCAGGCAGCTTCCCTGCCCGCCGGCAGCCCTGAGGGCAGGGGGTGGCAGGGCAGTGGGCAGGGCAAGCTCTAGCACTCTTTCTGCCGCATGCGCAACTCGTGGCGACGCAGGTGGTTGTAGAGGGACTGCACATAGGTGAAGACGCACTTGGAGTCCGGCTTCTTCCCCATGATCATCATGTCTTCCACCTCCACCAGGGGCACGCAGTCCACCAGCGTCCTGCAGAGACACAGCCCTCAGCACAGCCCTGGGCAGGCTGCCCCACCGCAGGGGCTGGGACAGAGAACCCACGCCACCCAGGGCCTGCTGGCACCACTCCCCTCAGCCCCACTCAGCTCCTGCCCGCCCATCGGTACCCACAGTCCTGCTGCTCCTGGCGCTGGGAAGAGCACGTGCTGCCTGCAACAGGGGCCGCCTGCCTGCCTGCACCCGTTGCCTTCCTGCTGCTCTCTGCCCCAGCTCTTGGTGTCGGCCAGTACGCCCTGCTCAGGCTGTGCCCACCCTCCTCTTCCTCCTCCTCCAGCTGATGCTGGTGCACTGTAGGGAGACCTGCCTGCCCACCCACATGTGTCTGTGCTGTGCCCGCACCCTGAACCCCACCAGGTGGTCCAAGGAAAGGCAGGGCAGAACTGGGCACATGCTGCCTGCCCATCAGTCCTGCTGCAAGCCCTGGCCCTGCTCTCCTGCTTCCCATCAGCTCTGCCAGCCTGGGTCCCACACTCACTCTGGACTGGACCCCAGGGGGGATGCCTGCTCCAGGCACAGCACAGCACCACTGGTGGGGTGGGCACTGCCCGGCTTCAACCAGCTCAGCGCTGGCCTGTGCCTGCCACCTCCCCACCTAGGCCCTGGTGCGGAGCTGGGGTCTGTGCAGGGCCCTGCTCCAGCAGCTGCCAACCGTGGGGGGGCCCTTGCAGAGCAGCTATGGCTGTCCCCCCATCCCCACATCCTCAGCCCTGCTGCTGCCCCTTCGGTGGAGTGGCAGCCCTGCCCTCACTCTGCCCACACAACCCACCCAGTTCCCTGGGCTGCAGGTGCCACCCCTCTCCCCTGGCTGGGGCTCCCTGGGCAACCGGGGTGGGGGGGCGTCCAGCTTGAGGGGGCTGCTACCACGGTTAGGGTAGTCACATGCGACAGCCAGGCTGGCCATAGAGGGGAACTGGCCGCCTCCATCCTCTTGCCTTTCTGCTGGGGGGGGACGACACAGAAGCAACCCCCTGGCCCTGCCTGGGTCCCTGCACCCCGGCCAGGCAGTGGGGCAGCTGCCAGCACCCACCGGGGACAGACAGTGCTGGAGCCCCCCAGGCTGCTGCTGCTGCTAATGGCTGATGTAGCCACGAGCACCTGGGGCAGGGGATGCTTGGTGTGAACTGGCAGCCCCCACTGATGCCATGGCTGGCCCAGCTGCTCTGGCGCTGGGGCCACCCTCTGGCAGGGGGTCTGCCCCAATGGCAGGGTACACTGGGCAGCTCTGACCACAAGGAGGGTCCAAAGCCCAAGCTGCCACCCACCACCACCCTTTCCCCCATCTCCCTTGGCTGCAGTAACCCTGCTGCATGCCTTGCCCCCTCTCCCAGCACAGCCCACCCCAGCCAGTAGAGTCCAGGAGGGACCCCCCAGCTGGTGCTAGCCCCCTGGGGAGCACCAGGACTAAGGGGAGCACAGGGCTCTGCCAGGACCCTGCTCCTGCACCCCACTGTCCCAGCTCTCCCACGGGGCCTCTGCTGCGCTGGAGTCGATGGGCTCCGAGCCCACAGCCTGGCCATCACTGGCCCTACCTCGTGATTCAGCTGCTCTGGGGAAGGAGGAGGCCGTGCTCAGGGCCTTGGGAAAGCCCCCGCCTGAGCTCCGGAGCCCCCCCCCACCCCCACCCCAGCTCAGGGGGTGATGGCAAAGCAACGGCAGCACTAGGAGAGCAGCTCTGCCCTTATAAAGCCATTGTTTGGGCCCCGGTGTGCTGGTGCCGCACAGAGCCCGGGGAGCAGGGGCTCCAGCGCCAGCTGGGATGCCCCTGAAGACAGGCACAAACACTGCAAGACGAGGCAGGACCCAAGCCTTGAGTCACACTTTCCAGGCTCCCCACTCTTGCCCATATATGAGCAGGGAGCACCTCACGGGCAAGGCACCATCGCCCACGCCTGGCCCCGCAGCACTGGCTGCAGCACCCCCCTGCTCCCCCCCCGCCCCCCCGGCCGGGTCCAGCAGCCCCCACACACGCCAGGGCGGGGGGAAGGAGGCAGCAAATGCAAGCAGTAATGCTGGGGAATCCGGGGGGGGGGGGGCTCCAGCACCGCTCAGCTCATGCTGCTGCAGAGCATCCAGAGCGGTGTCCCCAGCAGCTAATGCCCTGGGTCAGCCTCAGCCAGCAGGGAGAGAAGAGCCGTGGCAGCTCTGTTCCCACTACCACCCTGGCTGTGGCTGGAGAGCCAACAGTCCCCCTAGGGTGACACAGTCCACCCCTCCCCAAATCCCCATAGGTGCTATTCTGGAAGGCCAGCCAGCCACCTCCACCCCTCTCCTGGACACAGCTTGGCCCCGCTGGCCGACACCACCAGGACTCGCCCCTCACCCACCAGCATCCCCCAGCCTCTTCCCCAGCCACGGCGGCCGCTCCCCGGCCAAGCGGCGGTGGTCGGGTGCGGGCAGATAGTTGGAGGGGAAGGTTCTCACCATCGCTCCCAGGGGGGGTGAAAATGGGCTACGACTTTTTGGTTTTTACCAGCCCCTTCTGGACCAGGCAGCGATAGAATTCCTGAATGTATGTGTACACACACTTCCAATCTGGCTCGCGCATCCGGACCATGTCCTCCACGTCCAGCAACTGCGGACAGTCCGCGTGCTTCCTGGGGGCAGGGAGAGAGAGGGGCAAGCCAGTGACCGCAGCCCAGTCGGGGAGGGGAGGAAGAGAGAAAACAAGAGACACGGATCAATGCAGTTCCCGTCCCTCCCCCAGGCAGATGCTGCTCTGCTCTTGCATGCTCCGGGGGTGCGCGATGCAGGGGCAGGAGGGCTCCAGGCACCACCGCGCCAAGGCCATTCAGTGAGATTTGGGGGGGCACAAGCAAGGGAGGGGGAGGGCGGGTGAGCGGCGTGGAGAGGCGTGAGGTCCAGAGGGAAGGACAGAAGGAGGCAGAGGAGGAGGAGTGAAGTGTTCTGGCGCGCTGGTGCTTGGGGAGCAGGTTCCAGAACAGAGCAGCGCTCTATATAGCTCCTATATAGACCCGCCGGGAGGATGGGGGGGCTCAAGCCCAGCCCTCCTGCCCAGCTCCGCTTGGAACTGCATGGCACAGCCCTGGTGCAGGAAGCTCGGGAGAAGATGCTCACAAGAGCTGGAGGAGGAGGAAGAGGAAGGACGAGAGGCCACCTGGCATCCAGGCTGGAGAGATCGATGGCACTCTCAAGTCCACGCACCGGTTCCCCAATTAAGGCAAAAAGTCCATTACCAGGAGCACCAAGAGCCAGGCACACTGCCCCCTTCTTGCTCCACCGAACTGCCCTACAGCACTCAGGGACCTCATGGGAGCTCCCAGCTCATGCCACCGCCCTGGGCACCGGCCAGGATGGGACCCCCACCTGTCCGGCCCTGCCCCTGGGCAGGGTGCTGGAGGGGAGGAGCGGGTGGGAGAGAGACAGAAGGAAGGAGAGAGGGGCTGGCTGCCAGCCCTCCAGCTGGACGCGCTCCCGTCTCTCAGCGCCCAGGAAAACCAGAAGCAACAGGGGAAGGGAAGAGACTGGAGAAGCTGCGACGGTGCTTGAGCCCCTACGACCGTGAAAAGAGGCACCTGGCACGGACAAACCCCGCTCCCCAGGGATGGGACGTACCGCCTGTGGCCGGGCAAGCTTGGGGAGCCACTGCCCTGCCTTTGGGTGCTCTGCCCCACACCCAGGAAGCCCAGACCCCCGCGCCCACCCTTGCCATGTCAGACTGGGCTGCGCTGGCCTCTTGTGGCTCTGATGCAGCCACTGCTTTCCCCCTCCCGGTGTCCAAACCTTGTTGCACGACACGGGGGGAGCGATGCTGACGGGCACCCACCTCCAGCACCATCACCCCTGCCTGTGTCCCTCCTCGCCCCAGGCAGCGAGTGGGAGAGCTGCCCCGAGCCGCCCCAAGCCCACGTGATGGCACAAGAGCTACATACTCTGCGGAGGAGAAGGCCACCTCGAAGTTGTGGCGGCGGTTCTGGGGCGTCAGCTGGCTGTAGTCAAATGCCTCGGGGAAGAAGTTGTGGACCAAGGCACAGAAGGCCATGCCATCGCTCCAGCTGGATGAGAAGTTCTGGATGTCCACGTGCTGTGAGGGCGGGAGAGTTACCGAGGGGCAGAGCAATTGGCCCTGGGGATGGGGAGAGGAGGTGGCACTCACCTCGTAGCCCCGGGTCTTGGCTCTGCACCAGTCCAGCAACATCTGCTTGATACTGTTGGCATTGGGCACGCCGAAGCTGGAGGAGCGCTGCACGGTGGTGCGCGCTGCTGCAGGGTTTGGCAAGCTGCGGCAGAAGACACAGGGTGTTATCCATGTGGCGCTTGCCGCCCCGGCCAGCCTGCCCCTGGCCCAGCCTCACCTCCCACCCTCCTTCTGCAGTTTCTCCATCATGGCCTTGCGAGCCTGTGAGGCAGATGTCTTGGGCAAGCTCTGAGCTTTCATCAGCTCCTTCTTCTTCTCAGCCTGGCGCCGCTCCAGTGCGGCCAGGCTGCTCTGCCTGCAGGTACTCTCGTCTTCACGGTCAAAGATGCTGGGAGAGAGACAGACAAAGCTAAGGGGGGCTACGGGCAGCCCGGGGAAGGGCATGTGGTGGCCTCACCCTATTCCCAGCCCTGGTGCTTTGGAGAGCTCCACATCCCAAGGACAGAATGGGGGTAGCTTAAGGTCCCCAGCTGGCAGACACATCTCCAGGCCCATGGAGGGACCCAGGGGGACTGCTGGAGACAGAGTGTGTGCCCCAGGACCAGGAGGCTTTGGGGACATCCCCGCACAGGGACACCACAAGCTGGGCAGACCTCTCTTTGTGCAAGCAGATGGCTGACGGGGACTGCTTGGGGCTGGCCCGGGGGATGCACCGCCGCTCACCTGCCGGTCTTCTTGGAAGAGGAACTATAGGATGATTTGGTTTGAACAAGTGTACTGTTGCCATCTGCAGAGAGAGAGAAAAAGAGAGGCCTTGGGCAGGCACCGAGGGAAGTGGCACCAGGCAGGTGGGAGGCTCTGCCCATGCCACGGGCACAGATGGCTCTGCAGCAGCAATGCCCTTGAGGTTGCGCCCAGAAGATCCTGTGGGGAAAGGGCAGCAAAAACTCTTACTGTCCGATCTCTTCACGTAACTTGACTCCATGGTTGTGGTACGGGAGGTCTTGGTGCCATCACCTGCAGGCGGCAAGGCAACGGGGGATCAGCTGGGGCCAAGGGCAGCGGCACCCACAGACACCCACTGCTGCCAAGCACCCTCACATCCATGTAGCACAACAGGGAGAAGCCCCAGGTGGCAGAGCCATGGCCAGGGCAGGCAGAGAGGGGATAGATGGTACGTGTCCCCCACAGGCAGAGCAAAGAGGCCAGTGCAAAGGAGCGGGGAGCTGGAGCATCCCTCAGCCCTCCGCAGTGACTCTCAGCTTGAGCCACCCAGGGACTGGGAGAGCAGAGGTGTAGGGGACAGGAGACAGGCCCGAGGTACAGACAAAGCCCCTGCCACCCTGATGGGGCGGAGGATTGGGCGGCAAGTCGCCAGAGCAAATCCCTTAAAGATCCCCAGGCAGGCTCTGGGTGAGGCAGAGGAGATGCAGCAAAACTCAGCCCCGAACCACAGTCCTGCTCCCAGCGCGGTCAAGCCAGAGCCAGGACAAGCAGCGAAAGCAGCAGAGAGAAGCTGTGGTGGCAGAGCGCTGGGAAAGACTCTGCACAGCCTCCCGAAGGGTCAGCACACTGGCCATGCTGGGCAAGTGAGCCCTGCACTCCCACAGCCCATACTAGACTGGACGAGACGCTCTGTCTTGGTGACGGTGCTATGTGCCAAGCCGTCGGCCGACTGGGTGCTCTGCGTGGTGGTGGTCTCTGTGGCGTGGCTGGCCCTCCCCGCTGCAGCCTGGCTCCTCATCTCCTGCAGCCGCTGATCCCGCTCCTTCTCCCGCTGGTCTGCAAACACAGGCAGAAAAGGGTGTCAGCAGCGAGAGGCAGGGGCGGTGGGCACGGTTCCTGCCGCATGGGGGGTCCTGCCAGCTGCTGCTGGTCCAGAACCGGCTCATGGGAAGGACGATGTCCTCAGCTTAGCACAGCCAGGGGTGCAGCAGAAGGCCCAATGCACCCTCCTGCTTTACCACAGCTGGACAGCCCCACTCCAGCACTCTGCTGGCTCCACCTGCAACACCACCGCCAGAGTCCCGACCCCTGGGGCGGTCACTGTCCCCAAGTACCTCGCTTGCGCTGGCGCAGCTCCCGCATGGCGTTGCGGATCAGTCGCCGCTCCTCAAAGTCCGTCGTCCGATCCAGCTGCAGGAAGAGGTGGGGGTCAGCATCACCCCTCTGCCACCAGCTCGGGGTCCCCTTGTCTTCCCCAGGAGCCTGGCAGCTGAGGACGTACCATCTTATCCAGAACATCCTCATCCTCAATCCTGTTCAGCTCCTCGATGTTCAGCTTGCTCCTTCTCTCCAGCTCCCTCGCTTGGACCTTCTCCATGCCATTGGGCAGCTCTTGCTCCAGCCTAGGCGCCTGTGGCTGCTCCACCGTCTCCGGCTCCATCTACAAGGACAACACTGTGCAACTGAGCCCCCGCCAGCTTGGCCACCCCTCTGCCACCATGCTGCTCAGGGTCCAAGCCCCCCACCGCCCTGACACTTGCCCAGTGCCACGGGCAGGAGGGACCCTGAAGAAGACGTGCCACATGTGGCACAAGAACTCACAGCCGGTGGGATGTCGTGGGCATCTGTGGCGACCAAGGCAGGCAGGGGAGCAGGACATTTCCCCCCTGCAGCACCCCCTGCCCCGGGAGGGCCTGGCAGTCTCCAACCTGCTCCCAGACTGGCTGCCAAAACGTCCCCAAATATTCCCCACCCCTCATCACCACAGGCTGCTGGGGCCCTCCAGCAGGCAGGGGCTGCCCGGGTGCTCCAGGCTGGGCAGTGCCTGGTGCCAGCAGCAGGAAAGGTGCTGGCAAGGCCAGCGTGCACCACTAGCAGCACAAGGGATTTCCAGGGAATTAAAGGACTTAGTGGAGAAAAGAGCTTGTTGCAGGAGATCAAGAGCCTCCCCCGCATCCCCACTCAGTATCTAGGCCAGCTCGGCCCCCACCGCAGCAAAGCCAGGACGCCAAGTCCCTTTCAGCACGACCCCCCAGCAATGCGCGTCAGGCAGCGGGCCAGGCCCGGAATAGGGCACGGAGGCAGCAGAGAGGAGGTGCTGGTGTGGGGCTGGAGCAGCTCTGACACACACCTGGCCCCATCCTGCATCCTGCGTCCCGCTGCCCTGGCCTGGCACCCGGCCCATGGCAAAGCCACCAGCGGGAGGTGATGCCGGCCACATGCGCCCGTGCCACCACCTGCGCCTCGCCACTGCTGTGTGCAGGCGGGGGCAGGACAGCTGCCTGCAGCCTGCCCACCCGGCCGGCACGCCGGCAATGCAGAGCAGACAGGCGCCGTCTGCCCCCCGCAGCAGCGAGCCCAAATGGTGGCAAATCCGAGTGACGCCGCACTGCCCACGCACCGCAGCCACGGTCCCACCTCACGCCAGGGGCTTCACTGCAGCTTCAAACTCCCCCAGGGCCGCCAGGAGCCCCGCGGGCCGGTGCCACCCTCCCACCACCTCCCCCCCCCCCCCCAGGCGCTGCCGTGAGGCAGGGCAGCCCACACTCACACCACTGTTGCTCCGGGAGAGGCGCGGGGCCGGTTGCTGGCGCATGCTGGAGAAAGCGGGCGGATGGGCCACGGGGCCACCGGGTTCCTCGGTGCCCTCGAAGTGGGCACAAGGGTCCTGCGCTTCCAGGAAGAGGGTGCTGAGGTCCTCCCCAGGGGGGTCCTGCGGCCCCAGCCGCAGCACCAGCAGGTCAAGGCGGCGGCCCAGGCGTGCCAGCTCTGCCCGCAGCTCCAGGTGCTCTTCCTCCAGCGCCCGGAGCGCCCGCGCCAGGGGCTGCACCCGCCGCAGCGCCTGCTCCAGCTGCC